AATTTTATTCTTACAAAAACTTTATGCTCTACTTGTCGTTTATAATAAAAACAGAATCCTGCTCACAGGACAATGGAAAAGGCTTTGATGTGTTGTTTTGGAAGCAATGACATACGACTTATTTTTATTGGTTTCTTCTTCTTGGTTTATATCACTGGTGACTCTAGATTCCCTCTGGGTGTGAATGTGAGAATGAATGTTTGTCTCTATGTGTCAGCCCTGTGATTCACTGGCGACCTGTCCAGGGTGTGCCCTGCCTCTCGCAGTGTCAGCTGTAATGAAATGGATATGTGCATGGTGAGATTTTACCAGGAGGGTGTATGGAATGATCTTCTGCAACAATATGTCCACAGAAGGACTTTGGGGTTGGACAGTTAAGCAAAAATCCAGTTCATACAATGACAACATCCAGGGTCAGTGTGATTAAAATTTGTGCTCTCCATAATACCTGCAATCATCCTCCACCACTACCTCCAGACTGCTACCTTCCACCTCACTACCCAAAAGACACATTACTTCCTGCAGTGGCACTAAACATTGGCACTGGAGCTGAATTGTGACGTGCTGAATCATCCAGTATGGATTTTTTTGTGATAACATCTAAACACTCAAGTTGACTCAAATGTCAAACTTTACAGAAAGAGGACCTTGAGATTAGTTGAGTGCAGTTAGATTATCTTGCAAGTGCTGTTTACATGGGCAGGAATTACAGAAAGCTCATCTGCATCACAAAAATATGCTGATTGATCTGAAATATGTGGCTCCTTACTTTTCGTGATCCCTCGTGTAAAAACTGGTTGCTTAGGGAATGACCTGGTTGTCTGTTGTGAATAAAAAGGTTAGGGAAACAGTGTACCTTCAAATGACCACCAAAAGTGTCGAAGTCGAAGAATTTGCAAGCCTCATTGCCGTAGCAGCCAGGCTCCATCTCCCCACGGACCAGGATGTTACGACTCAGCAGGCCAACTTCTGCCCTCACATCCACACCGTCCACCTCCTCACCCATGTGGATAAACTGAGCCTTACCTGCACACACGCACATGCACACACACATGCACACACACACACACACACACAAGAGATTACAACAAACAAAAATATAGAGACATCTGTTGAAAACTGCTGATCGGATCAACACTCATCAAACTGAGCACAGTTTCAACAGATGTCAATTCACACCAGAGAATAGTGTTCGTGTGTGTGTGTGTGTGTGTGTGTGTGTGGCTGAGCAGATGTTTCAGATGAATGCAACACTTGAGAGCGGACCATTAGCTAGCGTTCACCCGAGAGCAACAGAACAGTCAGAAACTCAGTAGTTCTCCACCTCACCTTCCGCCCCATCTGATTTTAAACTTGCTACATGTTCCCACTAACCTGGTGTCCAGGCCAATGCCAGCCATCTGTTAAGAAGATGGCTGTGATGGTGGCAGCATGTTGCTTCAGATACAGAAGAAATGATGGAATACAATCCATATGTCAACTTCAGAGATTACAGATTCAGTGTGAATGCACCTGCACAGTGGTTTTTATGACCTCCACTAATGTGAACTTGCTGCTCATGTTGTTTGCCATCAAAGAGTTGGACTTCCCTCCATCATCCTGCTGCTACTAGAAGCTCAGAACAAAAGGTGCAGTGCACTACACTGTCTTTTATTCCTGTAGCAAATGACAGACCCTGGTACCCTTGGTATTTTTGGATCTATCTGTCTCTATTATAATCATCTTTTATAATAATAGGATGAACACAAAGTTTCTAACTCCACTCTGCACCACACACTGCATATAAAGCTCAGCTGGAGGCCTGTAATGTTTGAAATATTCCTTTAGGCATTATGACCTCTAATGCTGGGATGGCTATTTGACACACTTTTTGATTTTGGCTTAATGATACGATCAGACAAAAGCTACAAATGACAACAGCTACAGCTACAACACACAACAGGTAGAAATGTTTTCGATGTGGTTGGAGGACATGTTGTTTGACTGTTATGATACTGAGAAATCTAGATAGCTTACAAATATTAACCTCAACCTCCCTCCCACCTCCCACCCCTCAAACATTGAGCTTTTAGCCAGTTTAAAAGCTAGAGCATTATACTTGTTGCATGTAGTGTATCTCCTGATGAAGAGGAGAACAAAGAGGAGCCCATAAAAGGCAACAAAACAACACAGTAAGTGGAAGAATGCTGCAGAAACCGGCTCAGTTCCACGTGTCCTTCACTCCTACACATTTACATTCTGAACAACACATGTGTTGTGTTGATCAGAAAAAAACAAATAGATGCCAGGGAAAGAAATGGAACCAAAGAAATGTTTGAGTGTGAAATCTGAGTGAAAGAAGCTCAGACACCCACATAACCTCTTTTCTCCTCCTACTCCTTCCACCAGCACAGCCAGGACACTTTCATTCCAGCTCAGACCTAACACTTCAACAGCTGAGGTTCACATACATTCATTTTGATGATTATACTGTTGAGTCACACATCATCACATTCACAGAGCAAATAATTCAACAACAACCATGTAGCTTATAGATGGAATCATTTTGAAACAATGAGTAGTGCTCATACTGCTAATGTAATATCTCACTAAGTCTGGCCTTAACTAAATTAATCCGGTTTAAATGTGGACTGTTCTACAACTAGTGATAGGTAACCCTTCACAAAAATAGCAGACAATTTTCACTTCACTTGTCTATTTCACGATAGAAAGCATGAAACCAGAAGAGTAGTCGCTCATGTTGGAATTGCATGTCAAATCCTCCCATATGGGTTTAATGAGGCTATATTTAAGGGCTATGTAATGTATCAACTGCAGAAGTTGTGATAGCTGTTATTGTAGTTTGCAGGTTTTGACAGGGCTCGTCTCTGGGCTGGTGAAAGATGTTAAAACTGAGCTGGAGAGACAGAACCTGATTTTGTGAGTTTAGTTAAATGTCAGGATGGAAATAGAATAACGCTAAATACTTCACCACAGCTCCAGGCCATTGATCCATTCCACAGTATTTATTTTCTACACCCATCATCACATAATGCCATTTAGAACTGTCAAAAGTTCAACATGTAAAACCCAGGCACTACTTATTGGACTTAAACTGATAAATAGCCGCAGGCTGTCTGTCTGTGTCTCAACAACACACCCTCACTGTTTGTGCATTACCTCAGGGGCTGGGGAGTAGACTGTATTAGCACAAAAACGGTGCAGCAAAGTGGCACAAGGGCAGGAATTAATGAAAAGGATAATAGTCAGGAGTATGACAGCAGCTCTGAGGAGCAGCCCCAGGCTCTCCAAAATAGGATTTCCACTTTGGATGGCCATGGACCCAGTGACGTCAAAGAGCTGAGAGAAAACAGAGAGGAGTGGGGGAGGTATGGGGGAGGTTTAATGGACTGATCTTCTGATGCAGCTGGGCAGGAGCCAAATGCCAGCAGCTTTTTGAAAATAAATAGATGGACTCCTGAATCCACAGTGGAAGAAATGCTAACTTTAATTCTTTTGGTGCATGAATCTGTGACAGGATGTGACAGCACCGCAAGGTCACGTCACATCACGTTAATGCTGACTTTTAGCCACAGCAGGCACAAAGTCTTTTCCAAGTGACAAAGAGTTTTTTTGATTCATACACAAGAACGGAGACGGCTGACAAGGCTGACCTGAAGAACCCTGCTCAATGTGTGGCTGAAGTACTAATATAAGTGCCTCTGTGTTAATACTAGCTTGGCATTGGCTCTGTGTGTGTGTATGTCAGTGTCAATGGGCCTCAATAAACTGACCTTTTCTAGGTCATCTCAACCTGCCCCTGCCACACACACACACACACACACACACAAACACCACCTTAAAAATGGAAAAAGCCCTTGTGCACTGTGGCTGAGGCAGCAGCGCAGTCCATAGCGACTTGGCTTGGGAACCGGAGGGTGGCCGGAGAGGAGAGGTGCTAGTTCACCTCCTGGGCACTGCCGAGGTGCCKTTGAGCAAGGCACCGAACCCCCCAATTGCTCCCCGGGCGCCTTCATGGCTGCCCACTGTTCCGTGTGTGTTCACTGTGTGGATTGTGTTCTGTGTGTTACGTGTGTGCTGTGTTCACACGGATGGGTTAAATACAGAGGTCAAATTTCCCCATGTTTGCATGTTGCATGCTGTGTGTGGGACCATAAAGAGGAATCTTAATCTTAATCTGAAAGCAGTCGTCGTCCTCCAACCAATCAGCAGCTCAATCCCAGATTCTGAAACCCAAACGGCCCCTCATAGATATAAGTACTGCACATAGATTCACTATATGAATGTGTGTGTGAATGTACTCTAAAGCGCTTTGAGAGGTCAACACTAGACAAGCACTATATAAATACAAACCATTTACCATAAGTTGTAATGACTACTCAGACCTTGTGTAATGTAATGCAAAGTGGAAACATACATGTTCTGTCTGACCAACATGGGTGAGGGACAGGGCAATGATAAATACGTCATTCTGAAACAAGCAAAGAGACGCAGCACTACATGGTGATGTCAGTGCAATTTGCCCCGGGTGCAAGATAGGGTCTTAATGTCAGAGTATGTCAACAGACATCTGATAACATTGAGAATGTTGAGAAACAAATAAGGAAACAAATAAGTTAGAAATAAATTAAGAAAACCCTCTGTTGTTTTGATGGAGCTCTAAGTCAAAATGCTTGAATGCCCATGTTAACTGTGTTCTACCTGCTTCCATTATAGTAAACTATGTTTAACTTAGTGTTTGTTTATCCATCTTCTGAACAGTGACACAAATTACCTGACTGTTTTGAAGGTCACCTTGCCTTTCTGTGTCACTGATTTCCATTGCTTGGTTGGTGTGCTTGGCCACTTTTCATTATAGTCCAACATCTCTCACCTTTTGCTTTTATCCTTGTGGAAACACTTTGTAACAAAGTGGTTTGTGGTCTATGTGCTGTTTAAGTAAGGGCGACTCAATAACTTCAATAAAAAAAAACAACCTTCAAATAAAATGAAAGATGTTTTTTGGTGAATTCTGTCTTTGCTACGCCCTCAGTGAGTGGCCTAACATGTGCCTTCCAACTCACAGCTGGCGTTCTGAGGCTGACCTGTGAACTGATGGGAGACTTTAATGGTGGAAGCATGTGTGCATGGCCAACTGCCTGGATGACATCGCCATCTCTAGCATGGTGTTAAAAATGTTTATTTCACAACTGGATTTAATATGAATATTTGCAAGATTATATTTTCAAATCAAAATATTGAATGTGTTAATGTGCCATACTTTCCCATTTATCTCACTGCCTCTGTTTCTTCGAATCCATTCAGATAGATAGGAGATTGAAGGGTTAACCTAGGAAGAGTTAGTGGCTCCCTCTCCTCACTGAGCTACTTGAGACAATACGCACATGAAACATTTTATAAATACAATACTTAATGCAGTAAATATATTTTGCAAATGTTTCTCTTGACAATGAAATGTTGAGCATGCAGCACATGTAGAACATTATTGGGTCCACATCTACATGTGGCAATGCTCCTCATAGTACTCAATCAGAGTGCTGTGTTTCCCCCCCAACCTAACCCCACCTAACCCAGGGTTAGAGACATGTGTCCCAGAGGTGAACTGATCTTTCACAATCAAAGAACATTTCCTTAAGTATCATGTAACAGTGTCAAATACCAATGTTAGTGCTAACATTAACTGCTGTCTAATCTTAACTAATGAGCGATTAAATATGTTGAAACATGGTCAAATGTCCGTCTTGATGTAAATAGTCTCTGTAATTGCTGATAAGTCAGGAAGCAGTGAAATGATAAGTGTTTGTAAGACTCACTATGCTGAAATAAAACAGTATTTCATGCAATCAGTTGTGAAATTGGTGTTGATCTGGTCTGGGTCTCTCAGCAGGATTCAGATCTGGTATTTTTTGGTTCTTCAAACACAGACTCATGTGGTTTGGTTCCATGTATGACATGTATTGGTGTGTATTTTGTGTTTGGGAACAAATTAGCCTATTGTTCTTGTGAGGGACTGGTGATGTGTCCAGGGTGTACCCAGTCTCTTGCCCAATGTCAGCCAGGGATGGCTCTAATACTCCCGCAAACCATAAAGACTAATCAATATAGATCAGGGATGGATGGAAGGACCTCTAGTTAAGACTAGCCCAACATTGACATAAGTGAATACTGTGACAGATACAAGAACATTTTGAATAATATGATTTACATTTTTATCTAATTTTCTGTAATCAAACTGTGCACAATGATCAAACCTTGCATCTAATGCAGCTGGGCAACATACTGACAAATACTCAAATGTTTGAGTCATTGATTAACGAAATACGTGGATTTGAGATATTGCTGTGATTTGCTTAATCTTGACGTATATTTTTTCAAATTTTAAGCTAGAAAATTAATAAATTCATGGATGAAAAGCACACAAGGCATTTGCCCTCCTTGCAGAACAAACTGAGTTGTGCCTGAGGCATCCCACAGGAGCTGGGAAAGAGTAGAACGCACCTCAGTACTCTCTGACACACCTATTTTAAGATAAGAACATCCCCTCTTTATTTTAAGCTTCAAAACAACCTGCTGTCTGTCTATTCAGATGGGTCCTCAGTCTCTGTACTCACTATCACTCTCCCCTCTGCTTCTTCCACATCATAAGTTATTCCTGTTATGGAGGAGGCTTGACACTGCAGCTACAGTGACTTACTATCTCTGGTATCTCCGGCATGCTAACTTCAGCAGAAGTAAAGAAGCAATAACAAAACACCGATGGAGAAAGGCTCTTGAAGAGTAAAAGAAGGAGATATTGAGGAAAGTTTGGAGCCGTTATTACAATATTTCTTCTAGACTGGTAAGTAAACAGGTGCTATGGCAATGTAGTGGTAACTTACATGTACATATAGCATCTGTAAAAGAAACTCCAAAATGAACAGGTGGACAAAAACACAACAATTGCAGACTGATAAAGACGTGCACTCTACAGCCAAATTATCCTCTCCAATCCCCTCTGTGACATAGAAATTCTGAGCATTGATTCAGATAACGGTTAACAGATCGGTTCGGACCACATTTTTATGTTTTGTGAGGGGATGTAGTGGGTGTGTAATAAAAAGCGGGCGGAAAAAAAACAACAACATTTGGTACAGTAAAGAGAAGAACACTGAAGAACATGTTGGACTTGACTTCACATAAAACTACGTACTGAAAAAGTAATTAGGCAAGAGAGAGTGTGTGTGAGCGTGTCTCTCACAGTCTTAACTTCCAGAGTTCGCTCCGTATATTTACAAAACAACAACACACAGACTTTGCAATGCACTTCTGTAAAGGTAAAACAGATCAATCTCTCCGACCTCCACACTCTGACGATGCTAATCACTTCTGTGTGTTGGTTCAGATTATGCTGGGCTTCAGTCCGGGGTTGTGATTGGACACATATGCACACATGCAACGGGCTGCACCTGCTTTGCTTTGCGAACCGGAACCGTGGACATCTGGACCGCAGATTCAGTTTTGGTTTGAGAATTGTTACAGCTCTAGTGTTGAGACAGTGATGGTAGAGGCTGCAGTCACAAAGATGCTTAGCTGGCTGCTGTTTCTATTGCAACCTGTGCATTTATCTATGAGGAAGGGAATCAGCTCACATTTGATTGCTGTAAAGCTGCTGTATTATTATATTTTAATTTTTATATTTTATCATTACAAGACACTTTATGTTATTTTTCAATGAATTTGTGACTTATCTTTAATTGGAGCGCAGTGACATGCTCACTGATTGAATTCAATTCCCCTCCCTGGTGTCTCATTTGACTAAATATATAAAAATGAGGCAACACATGATTATTTTCATTATTGTCTATTAATGTTAGAAAACAATAACGCAATTTCTTCGACAGATTACAATTCAAAGTTGTAACCAGTGAGTGGTTGGATTTTTGGATCATTGGAATCATAACCCAGAAGGAGCTCAACCTTTCATATGATGGCTGCACTGAAAACACACTGCAGGTCACTGCTTCTCTCACCTTGGACCTTGACCTGGTTGGATGTGCAAGTCGGGCATGGCAACAGGGTGAACTCTTCAGACTGGTGCATGGAGTAGTCAGTGCTGGCCACCACCACTCGATCCCCTAAGCCCCAGCCCTCTGGTTGGTCAGCGAGCTCCAGGATGCTGCTGTTAGACAACATGTCGATGGAGATGGATGCCTGTGGACGAACTACAGAGGAATGTGATAAGAGTTAGAACACACAAATAGGCAGAGAAAGTCAAACTGTGGCTGGTTATTGCACTGGAACGCAATAACAAGCCACCGTCCAGAACTACATTCCCAAATGTCCTAGTTCATGATCAAGTTACGCCATTGGTCAGCTAGCGGAGTTTCTTAAATGGCTCTTTCAAAATGAATTGGCACTTTTGAACCCTTTCAGGAACTTATTTAAATTTAGCACCTACAGGAACAAACCTTAGTTACTTTCTAATTTCTAGTTTGGTTTGTTACCCAGACAGAGGCTGTGGTCTTTGTGACAAACACAAGCTGTTTTCATACGAGCACCTCAACCCTGAACTTCTCTGGACACTTCCCCGGAGGAGAACAATATATCAGCTCCATTCATGGACACTTGTAGTGGACACTTTTCTATATCAAATTAAGTTTATTCATAGCAAGACTGATTACTTCGATTGAGAGCTTCTTTACATTGTGAAATTTACCCACTCATCTCTCTCACCCCCTCCTTGTGAATCCCCAGGTGTTCCCTGGCCAGATTGGAGATATACAATATCTATATCTATACATATCTATATACAATATATACAATTGTGTATTGTCGGGTTGAGCTCTGAGTCAGTCGGGGATCACATGAAGAGACAGAAGACACTTTAGTTCACATAAGAACTATTGGAGATTTTCCAAGATTCCTGTAAAAACCGTGTACCTGGAGACATGGTCACACTGAATATTGATTGGATAGTCAGTACTTATGTAATACTTTTGTGTTGACAGTACCTTGTGTTGTTGTCAGCTGAGAAATAAATATAAAATATATATATATAAAATATTTATGGCTGTATTTTTGAAATCATCTGGTTCAGGATTTGTCCTTGTAATGACAAAGAGCTGGTCGACAGTTTATCCTACTGAATCTGAGAGTCAATAATCAGCTCATGTCTTACATCTAGTATAAGCTTTTCCTGGTGACGGAGCAGGGAGACACATCTATATTCGGTATCACCCCTTGTGTGATCAAGGAACATGAAAACAGATTAGCCAATGTGGTGGGGGGAGACCACCAACACTGTGGACTACCAGTCCAAACACTGTTAACTACCAGGCTGTTAAGGAGATATACTGTATCTTCATTCCACCTCAAGCCACCTCCCCTCCATGACAAACACTTAAAATGTCAGATTACCAGTACAGTCACCTCTCGAATACGTTCAACTGCTCATCAGAGCAGGAGATCTCTTGTGTCAAATCAGAATCAAAAACATGTTTGTTGGATTTTCACACCCGAGGAAGTTGCCTCACTGTTGTGGTGCATAACAACCAAAACTATGTAAGAGAAAATACCATATGCCAAAGGGTGTTCCAAGTTTTATATTAAAACATGTATTTTCATCTTTATCTGCCATGTACATTTGTATGCAGATGATTTTGCATTATTTAGCTGACTCTGCTCGTGCTGCTGTGGAAAACCTGCAACATTCTTTTAATGTTCTCCTCGCCGTGCCTTACTCATATTGAATGCATAAAAAACTAAGTCTATGTTGTTGTCTGCAGGTTTCCAGTATCTGGAATAATTTGGACACATAATCACATTCAATACCATATAGACATAATGATAAATGCTGATAAAACACTTATTTGTGTAGAAATAGAGCTAACTTTCCTATGTTGTGTAGGGAAAGGATTGTTGAAGCAATATTTCCCTCTGCTACGGATTATGAAGATGTGATTTATAGTACAGCCTCTGCCTCCACTTCTAAACCCTTGGATGCTGTTTATCATTCTGCCCTTAGGTTTATTACTGGTTATGCTTTCGAACCCATCCTTGCATCCTGTATGAAAAGCTGGGTAGTCTTAAATACGTGATAGGCATATGAATTTTGTTATCTACAAGGCCCTGATTGGGAAACTGCCGTCTTATATCACTTCTTTGCTAGACTAATGTTCTGGACCATATCAAACTGTCTGTATCTGGGCTTGGAAAATCTGCTTTTAGGTTCTCTGACCACCTGGAAGTCTTTACAATGCACTGTAAAAATCTGTTCTTTGGACTCCTTGGTCAATTTAAATCCATGATCACAAACACTTTAACTTCTCTTCTTCTAGTCTTTTTTTCATATGTGTATCCAGTTTTTTAAAGCAAGTATTTAAATACTTGTTTTAATCAAATGCTTACTTTTAGCTTGTGTCTTTTGTTTGTTCCTTACTGTTATCCAACATTATTGTTAATAAGGGCCAGCGCTCAATGATTATTTTCAAGTTTAAATAAAGGCAAATAATTAAATAAATACCTTTTGAAAACAAACCAAGGCAAACATCTGTTGTGCCATCCTTGATCTTTCTGACTTCTCTGCTTTTGTCTTCCTTGGTCTAAAGGCCTTACTGACTTCCCAAACCTCTGTTAAGCCACACAAACAACTTAATAAAAATGTGGTTCAACATTTTTGAAGTCATATGGTGTCATGTCTGTTTTCATTTGCCATTAATTTGTGAACTCGAATAAGTTTTGTCTGTAAAATTACATCTCGTCTGGTTAAGAAGATTTTCCCTGAATGTGTGGGAGGGTGAGATGCACTATGACACATTGTGTGTGCGTGTGGGGCAATTGTAGAGTGATGCAAATGGGTTGCACCCAGTGTCAATTTTGACAAAAAATTATGCCAACATTCCCTTGTGCAGTCATAACACACAGACACACACTTGCATGCACAGACACATAGCCACGAGCCCAGACATTGGTCTATGCTATCTCTGTATGGTTGGTGCACAGCCTGTGAACTCTGAGCTGGCTATTTGATAGTATTTCTTGCACCATCATGTGGGCCCCATGCATTCCAACCATAGCAGCCTGCCCACACACAACACACTCTCTGGAGCACTGCCAGCATGTTTGTGTACAGTACATACCAGCACTGATCAGCTTAGGCTCTCTATAATATACTTGTGAGATCCATTAATCCTTGTTGAAGAGAAACAAAGTTTACCTCGAGCATCAAGGTTTATTATCTGTAGTTTTTCAGAAAAAGCACAGAATATTTCAAACACATACACAAAATAAATACTTACAAACAACACACAAAGTGATAAACGTACCCAGTTTCCCACATAGGAAGCGGACCCTGTAGTTGCGACAGAGGCCATGTGCCTGGTTCTTGTTAAGGCAGACGAAGCCATAGTCCTTGTCATTCTTGTGGATCACATCTCCTGTCCTGTTGGCTGGTATACCATCATGGGTTTCAGCCTGGACACAGGGAACAGAGAATGAAAAACATGATGGGGGCCCAAACCTAACTGTCAAATTCCATGACACACCAATGGTAAAGATAAAAAAAAAGATCCTTGGAAATAAGTTTGTCTATGGTTGTTTGCAGGCACTTAAAATGATGGTTCTTTTTACCAGACATCTGCTATTTGTCTAGTGTTTGCCTTATTTTGCTGGCAAATGATAGGAATTTCATGACGTCCACTAGCACTATGGGTTAGGGCTCAGTTCTTCTACTGAACAGTGTGGTTTTTCCCAGTTAAATGTGGTCTGTAGCCAATACTGGTGCTGTGCCATGTTATACATAGTTTAGCCTAAATGCTGCTGCTCAATGACATTTCTCACTAAAATTCCATGTGCAATACAGTGTCAGCAAGTGAGCCCAATGTTACTTCTGATAAACACAGTGGAAAAGCCCAAAGAGTTTACCAGTTCTCCTTGTTTTGTTTAATGATGCTAATGATTAAAAAATGCACACCATTAATGACATTCAAACATTTATACAAAAACTACAGAAACTATGACCTCTTGACCCCCAGTGACTGTCAGTGGCACCATTACAGAACAACTTTACAAACGTCAAAACAACAACAGGAAAGTGCAGACACTCGGTCTCAGGCACTGAGACTTCATATTTCCTTAGGATACTCAGATAATCCAAAACAAATCAGAACCACATTACATAACTTATTGGAATGAGACAAAAAGCAAAAACACTAAAAATAGAGATTCCACAGAGGAAAATTAGACAGTAAAAACTGCAAACTGAGGAGAACCTTGACTCTGTCCAGATTCTGTGGAAAAAAGATGACACACATCAGTTGGCAAGCTATGAGGGACATACTAGTTCTTCTTAGATGTTTATGAAACAGAATGAAATTACAGTGACTTACTACATTGTAAAAGGCAGATAATAAAAAGATATATAAAACGAACATTTCTAGAAATCATTACTTCATGCAAACTATCCATTTGGAATTATTTATCTTAATGAATAAAAAAAAAAGAAGAGTCCGGTTAGATAACAAGACAATATAAAGGACAAATTGTGCAATGTTAAAAGAAGAAGAAGACATTGAGGTAGAAAAGTGCACAGCATCCATTAAAAAAGAGCAGTTGGAGCCTTATTTTTTATGGTAATGGGTGTTGGAGGCTGAGCAGGCAGACCTGGTGCTACTGCATATCACTCATGGAAGGTTAACAGCTGCAGCTTTATGGTGCCAGGCTGAACCGCATTCACTGGCTGCAGCCGTGTCATGTCCCTGCTGCACGGTAATGACAGACTGGCTTCATGTTGATGATCACCTGACTGCACGGACAGACCAACTCCAATAAAACTGGACACAGGAGCATCTGGAGCTAACGTCCATGTAGGGTCTTCTGTTTGGAACACCATTGATACAACATCATTGTTGCTGGTTATGTGTAGCTGAGATGATTCTAAAGGATTTCATCACACCCTATTGTTGAATTTATTTATAGTCGTCTTTTTTTTCTGCAAAATTGAATATAAGCAGTCTTAATACCTCTCTGTGTATTAGCAGGTCACTGCTATTCTCGAGTTGCAGTCAGATTACCTTCACACGCAAGGGACTCACAGCAAATAATGCAGCATCTATTCCGAGGTAACTTTATCTGAGCGATACTTCGATACTGTTGCCTTTTACTCTCTTAACACTGTATCAAAACTGCAATAAGGTTCTGATGACGCAGTTAGAATATTATTCTATTATTGTCCTCATATCAAACCATTCAACTTGCAAACACAGGAGATCAGTGTTGAATATCACAACGGCTGATGGAAGAAGAGGATCAGTAACAAAGAGATGTTAGGTGGATGGCTGGAGGCAGCAGGCTGCACACCTCCAGCTCTTCAGCTGGCTAACCTTCTCCCTTTCCTGCTCTATGGAAAACTACTTGCATCTTGCGGAGCGTGAGATTTAGATCATGGCTGTAATTATTATTGCCTGACTACTGCATTAAAACAACATAAGTTGGTTTGGCTGACTTTTACACATAGGCAAGCAGAGCCAGTATCAACACTTGACAGCAGTTGTTGATAGTTGACCAGAATATCTCATTTTATTAGCCATGGTGTATAGGAGCATTCAGACGGGGATGTCTCACAGCAATGAAAGTAACAGACACTTGGTCTGGGTGTGCTCATACTAGCTCATAGCTATACTGCAGACTTCTAACTCTTAGCACCAGTCACAAGCCTCAGCATCACACACACCATCCCAATTCTCTCTCTCTTTTGCCCGCTCATTATATGCACACAACTTGTGTACAACAACAATTTTCTTGCTCAAACTAGCCAGACTCACTGCAGATCTTACACAGACAACGAATCTCAGTGTAGGCTGCTTGGTTACCTGCTACTGCTGCCCCATTATAATAAGGAATAAAAGGCTGTTGAAGTAATTTTCTAATGTGTGAGTACAGTTTCAATGCTGCACATATGTATAATAATGTGATCAATGTCAGATCTCACAACACTAAAAACTGAGTCAAAGGCTCATTGTCAAGCACACTTGTTTTTAGCTAGCTGTTGTCAGACATAAATAATAACACTAACTTTATTTGTATAGCACTTATCTAAACAAGGTTACAAAGTGCTTCACACAAAAAAAATCTGTGGCGAAATGAGGAATTAATTATGATAAAAGGTATTTTGTTCAGTTCAATTTTAAGAGTCAAATCATAACATAATACATTTATAGAGAACCCAACAGTTCCCACAATCAGCAGCACTTAGGCGACTGTGGAGAGAAAAAACTCCCTCATTAACAGGGAGAAACCTCTAGCAGAACCAGACTCAGTGTGGGCGACCATCTTCCTTGACCGGCTGGGGTGAGCAGAGCGGTTTGATCCTCAATGCACAATATTCCAAAACAAGCTTTTCTCCCCTCAGTTTGACAAACCTCAGAATTGGTCAACAGGATATGGTTACACCCGTGGAAATGACAGAAGTGATGAGCAGCATCAGATCGAAGTCATGTCAACTTCCAGAGACAATAGATCACAAGTGGGTGGTAAAATGGAATATATCAGGTTCTGGATATACAGTGAAACTGTGAAAGCTACATCCAACCTATACATATTCAAGCTAGAAACTTTTGTATTTTTCAATTGGAAACATTACAGGTCACTACAAGTAGCATCTCAGCTACCTTTTCTACATCCAGTAATGAAATTAAACTGACCTTAGTTTGGCCTAGTTAATCATAAAGACTAAAAAAAAGGAAGGAACAGTAGTTGAGCTCTGATCACATTGTAAACACATGATCTCAAAACAACTCATGTACAGACAGAACCTTGTGCCCTGTACTTTATTAGTAGGAAGGCTGATGTCACGACCACAGTCAGAACAATAGTCGAGATACTGAGTGAGTCACTCTTGCTTTTGAAAATAACATTCTTCTCCTTGCTGTTTATAGATCTTTTGGAGACACATGTTAATGAAACATCTTTGGAGTTTATTGAAGCCACATTTTTTTCCACTTAAGAAGGATAGCATGAGACATTTGCCTCCAGTCTGTGCTTCTTGCCCTTGTTCAGACTCAGACACTTGAGAAGAGAGACATGGAGGAGACCAGGCTGAAGGATCAGAGGTCAGAGAGTTGATGTCAGTCAGTCAGTGTCTTTCCTACATGAATCTGATGCAGCCAAGTATAAAACTAACATAAACTAACTAAAGAAAAGGTGGTTCCAACTTAACAACAACTGCACTTAAACAAAATTTGGCGAGACTCTGTCCATAAGGTTTAAAAGCTGCTTTCATCCAATTCCACCAAATGATTCAAAATGTACATCATGCAAAAGCAATCACTTTCTAACACCCCGCGTAACAACATTCAGGTGTTTCTGCTGATAACCTATCAGGAGGGTACATGCTGCTTCAGATGAATATAACAACCCAGATGCCACCATCAGCAGCTCTCATCTCTGTGGCTTAGGGACAATATTTTCTTTTGAATGGCTTCAACACAACCTTTCATTCTTCAGTTCACCAGAACAATGCGGCAGCAACTTTGAATGAGTGGACGAATAAATGCTGCAGACTCGGTTACCTTTGTGTCAAATGACATCGCCAAAATGTGGGAGATGGCCGAGTGACAAGTCTCAATGAAATGGTCAGTACATCATGGAGAACACATGTCAACCCAGCTTGTTGTGTTCCATGGCTCCAGAGGAGGATGTCAGAGGACATTTAGGCTAAAAACAAGTTGTAATTGATGCTGTCTCATGTCAAATTTGTATGCCTGGCATTACGGGCACTTGGATGACACCACAGGAGCAGTATGGAGGCATGTTGTGGTTTTTTCTGTTGTTTTTTTTACGTCACCTTTCACTTTAATTGTATTGGATTTGGCTGCAGCAATGTTAACCCCTGAGACTCCAAAAGTGTTTTGTGAACTCAAGTACTTCATCCACACCTCCATCGGCATAGTGGTGAGTAGATAATGAGTGAATTAAATTTTTTCTGTGAACTATCCCTTTAAATACTTGTGGGACTCATATTAATTGGTTGGAACAGGCCCACATTTGATAAGGAGATTATTAATATAAAGATAATCTCATACAGAGCTTTGAGGGTGCAGAGTGGGTACAGGTTTGCAGAATTTGACCTCTGCAGGACTCTCCTGTGTGACCGTGCAAACACACACACACTTATGCAAGTAAGAAGTCGGCAGGTTTACCTGTATATCCAGTGGACTGACACACAGTCGGTCTGGATAGGCCTCGTGCAGGTCAGACAGTTTCTCCCAGTCTCCAGATCCCCTCTCATCATCCCTGTCAAACCATTCTGTCCACTCTGCCTCTGCAGGACGCACACAGACACACAGACACACAGACACACACACAAACACACAAGCACATCCCAGTTCAGTGGTCAGACAGCCAAGTGGTAGATATTAAACTAATCAACGTCAAGGCTTTGGCTTGTAGTCCATTTAGGCTGTCAGAGAGCATTTGTAGCAAAGTAATTGAAAGGCTCTCTCCTCTCATTATGTTCTCTGTCTGGCTGCCACAGCAGGGGATATGCATTAGACTGTGAGCCCGAGTTACTATCTGGAGCTCGACACACAGTTAGGCTCCCTGAGTATGTCTGAGCGCAGGTCACACAGCTTCTTCCACTGTATGCATATCTGTATTAAAAGAGCCATATATTAAAAGAGACGCTATCAGATATGTGATGAGAAGCGTCTAATTGGACTCAGCTTTGGGATGGAGGGGTTCACTAAAAGCAGCGTAGCAGGCAGCTGAGGAAGAGGCAGACATATTGATAAGAAGATGATGTGGTGATGATATCTGAAGGCTGATCGATTGCTGCTCGAGAAGAATTTAAAGAGCCAGAGTGAAATGATGGAACATGGTAGTCTGTGCATGAACGTGTCTGTGTGTGTCTGTGTGTAGGTTTGTTCGTCTGTGCATGAACGTGTGTGTAAGTGTGTTTGTATGTGTCTGTATTTGCTGCTGTGGAAATCACAACCTTTAATAGCCGCCAGGATCTGCTGGCTTTCTTTTTGTGTCTTTGTCAGTGTGGGCTGAATCAGAGTCAGCTAAGGCCGCATGTTCATACAGGTTTACTATTTTTAGTCATGCAAACAACTGATCAGGGAAAATAATGGTTTAACGATTTTAAGCTGTGGCGCTCAGCTGAGACAGGTCGTCAAGTGTTGTTCATGGACCCAATACATTACTTCCACTCCTCAATATGGCATGTGGTGCTAGATGGGAACTGTAAAACTTTAATGGCAGATTTTCATATTTTGACATAATGAAATTCAGATTTGTTTTTAAAAACATTTTACAAACCGGGCGACATGTAACTATTTGAATTCAACCACTGTGGGAGTGACTTTAACGTGCATCTCCTCCTGTTGTCACATGTGATGATTAAGTCAGTTCCATTTGTGGGTGAAGACCATGAAACGTGTTTGAAAGGTCTAAAAAAAACCTGAGCACATATTTTGAAAATGAAAACAGAGGAGAACCTAAACATATTTCCTCAACTGTCTGTTACTGACAGAACTGCACAAGCAGAGAGACAAGCAGTAGTTTAATGATATGTCAGTTTTTAAATAATAAACACATCAGGGCCTGATTTACTAAGGAAAACGAAATGTTGGAATTTCCATGGTGCTTGCAGTCAAGAGCTGCCTGATTAACAAACACAGCAGCTCATTACACAGTTACACAGCTCCTGGAATGATCCTGATACTGACTATCAAGCTGCACACTGCAAGTGAGAAATCGTTCAGAGCCTGTGTTGGTTGTGGTATTTCACTGAGATCACTTAGCTCTGAAACAGACTGCTAATGAAGTGACAAATTACAAAAACAATTTACTGTGGCTGTAGTTCAACAGTTCAACAGTCAAAGATCTATCTTATTAAATAAACACAGAAAACAGCAGAGAGAGAGACAGACGGAGAGAGAGAGAGAGAGACATGAGAGCAGGTGGAGGTAGATATGGTATTGATCTGGATGTTAATAAGACTCCATTCTCATCTGAAATGTGACTCCTATCCAGATTGTATCCTGACATTATTTACCCAGATTACATTTACATCTGGTATTAATATGTGTCTTCAGTGTCCAAACTGAGATTTGATCTCTGTGTCCAGCTCACGCCACATTCTCTTCTCTATTGGGAGGGTCCAAAAAAGAAAAGGTTTGAATAAGGAAAACAGAAGAAAATCACTAAAGCTGCCTTATTGTGCTCTCTTGCTTTTTGACTGGTCTCTACTTCACTCCTATCTCACGAGGACTAAGGGTAGGACTGCTTCCTGTTTACTGGCTAATGGCTGCTAGCTGCTGCTCCCTCACTGGTATGGAACAGTCGTGTATGTTTATTATTTCCACCAACATAGTTGTTGTTTGTAGATTGAGAACACAACTGCATTTACACCGATCAATGTTGTCATCAACTCTGGAAGTGGTTCGGCTGATTGGATTTAATCCATCCATCCCTGTTTTTATTAGAAGCACTGTGCTACATTTTGTTTGTGCCAAAACTTCTAAATAAAGTCTAATTGATTGATTGATTGATTGTCTGTTACATGATTCCTCCTATTACTTGCCTGTGGCTTTCCAATAAATATCATGCAATGAGAGATGAGACACACTTTGGAAACTCTCGCACAAACAACATGGAAAACTGTTACTCCTCCCTGGTGTTTGATTAATTAAGCAGTTGTTTCATCTGAATGTTTCAAAGCCTCAGTATATCTGTCCCTGGGAATAATCCAAATGCCACCAACAGGTCGCTCAATGAACCCCGGCCTGTACAAGAGATAAGTGACCTTACCTTGCACCCACTGGCTGCAGGTGGTGATGGTGAAATGTTCCCCATAACTGGATCGAAAGACACGTGAGCTCCGAGCCTCTGAGGAGGCCTTGGTCCCTAACAACACACACGCAGACAGACACACACGCAGTGAGAGAGATTATGTAAATGTTAGTCATTTACGTTAGTCTATGGTATCGTGCAGGGATTTCTGCTCTGGCACCACTTTGATCATGCTGCATTAAAATGTTATGAAGGGACACTGTGTCAGACGATCATTTATAATAAACATGCCTTTTTTCTACAATCATCCCTACCTTGATAGACAGCATGATCCTCCACTACTGAAGAAGTGTCACCTTTAGTCACTATAAAAGTCCAGGGATGTCTGCAGTGTAAAAGCAGAGGAGATGTGAGGCAGTGAAAAGAGAGTACAGGTCAGCTAATGGACAGAAAGAAGAGAAAGAATGGACAAGGAGTAGACAGAGACAAAATAAAGTCAAGATGAAATGAAGCCAGAGATAGAACAATAAAAGGACATATAGACAGAAGCAGCTGAAGAGCAGGTGGGAATTTACATATAAAACACACACACACACAGATTGTGGCATTTTTCAGATGATGTTGAAGTCAAGGGTGAGAGCTTAAAGGGATGGTTCACCGAAAAGTGAAAATTCAGTCATTATCTTCTCACCACTATGCCAATGGAGGGGTGGGTGAAGCTCCATCGACATAGTGGTGAGTAGATAATGAGTGAATTTTCACTTTTGGGTCAACTATCCCTTTAATAAAATGAGTTATCCCAGCATAACTCTGCATAACTCTGGTAATGGCATACTGGTTGCTAGGAACAGGAGAATACTGTGTAATTGGACAGAGGTTCGACATCAGCGCGAGGGAGACGAAGACTTTCAATATACAGATGACTGTGTGAAAATAAAGAAAAACAACAGTATCTTGTTTTATTGTTTGACAGAAAATGTACAAATTTGAAATAATAAAAAATCTATCTCAACTGAATGATGTATGTTTAGTATAGATGTTACACTTTCACTTTGTGTGTTAGGTATGTTTACCAGCAAGCAAATAACTGTTAGAAACAGTGGAAGTCTTTGTGACTCTTATCCAGAGTCCAGGTTGTGCATATGTGCATGAATGCACTAATTTGATAGTGAAAAGCGCTGCTCATATTTACCCAGACCCTGAGGTGATGTTGAACAATCAACCCTTTAGTCAAGGAGCTGGCCTAATCCCAAAGACATGAGGTTTACAGTGACATAAATCATCTCCCCTCAGTTGAGAAACAAACGTTTGGCATTTTTACTCGATAAATGACTCAAACAATTAATCAGTCATTAAAATTGCATGTGAAGAAAATGGCACAGTGTGCCAGTACACTACTCCCAAAGTAAGCACGCAGAATACCAGGGCAGTGGCACGAGAACACCTGAGTGGGATGAAGCTATTTTTGCAATAACATGCCAAACATCTGCTCAGCAAACTGACTGTGTGTGCTCCAGTGAGGCACATATATATAAAGTGGTGCTGACACCAAGACAATGACTTCTAGTATCTACAACATCTGCAAACATGTATTCATGTTTTCTTTTCTACATTACTTCATCGTTTGTTCTATACTGAGATTTGATTTACACATTTCAAACCTACCTACTCATAAAATAAATCAATCTGAAGGTAAGACTCAAGGTTGTGTATCCACCCTCATGTTATTCTAGCCCAAATATCCACACCTAAATCCACTGAGGACACGCAAGCAGCAATACAAGTTTAAGTTTACTGAGTTTTGTTGTATTTGATTCCTATATATTATGTCGAAGGGTGTTTTGGACTGGGTACAATGGCAGTGAGCAATCACAGATCACTTGTGCAATGTAATAACACAAACCTTTCAGTAGCTACTTAATGTGGCTAATGTTTGTTCTATTATGAGTTGTTTACCTGTACAAAAAATATTGCTTCAATTCTTAACTTCCAGTTTCCTCCTTCCAGATGCATGAGACACTGGTTTTCCTCTGTGGATATTTTTTAACTTGTAGTTGTTATTTTGAAGCGATAGGCAAACAGTGGTCTACAGCAGAGGGGGCTGGGACTCTTCAACGTAAGTCATCACGGCAATGGTGCATCACAAAGATGGCTGCGTCTGGTTCAATGCATTACATCCATGGGTCCATGCATGATCTCTCTGAGGAACCCTCACTTAAACTTGAATCCCACCGATTAGTTTCTTTAAACTTTGCACGTTGGATTGTCTCAAGCTCGTGTCAGAAGTATTCACTTATAACGAGGGTAACGTTCTTATGGCCACTTTATATTTCCTGTTTAGTTTCACAGTCGTGAATGCCAAGGATTAAAGAGTTATTACAATCAGTAAATACTTTGTCAATGTTAAGTTGTTTGTGTGAGTAAGCTGCAACCACAGGCCAAGCAAACAGTGATTTCAAACAGGACTGTTTACAATGTGCACTGCACAAGTCCTAATTATTACAACCATGCTAAACATGGATGTTAACAATGCATTATTGAAAATCAAGAAATTGGCATTCATTTGGAAGGAAATGAATTCCCCATGTTTCCTTTACCTCAAGGATACACACACACTTTGTAAGGAACACTGACAGTAAACATCACTGGTGTTTGTTTATGAGAAAGCTCAGCAGGGCACCTTTAACCCTGTGCTGAACACACAGTGAGGAGCTGAGTGGGCCTGGGAATTAGTAGTTACTGGATACATCCAGCAAGGCGAGAGCAGCAGCAGAAAACTTTCTATCTGTGCAGTCACAGAGGTCACAGAGGAGAGACTGACACTGGTCAGAAACACTTGTGAACTGCAGCTGATTTATTAAGATCTGTTTGTACAGTGAGTCAGCCAGTTCTTACTGTCTTCACTATTAAAACAGGAATGTGTGTATAATTAGAAAGTAAAGACAGAGATTCCAAAAGCTAAAATGTTTCAATGCCAACATAGTTTGGTTTGTTAGAATCAACTCTGTACCACATCGGTATACATCCATCAAATTATTTCAATATGATTTATGTTGAGCTTTAAAAAAGAAACGCTGCACCAGAGGTGTGTTGTTGTATTTCTCCAGTGGCAGCTACAGAAAACATATGCAAATTACATAACGGAGAATGTACTGCAGAGTCTACACTGTCTCATAAATCCAAGCTTATTAAAATGTCTCTGGGTGCGCTGCAAGTTCCATCGTCTCTCTCTGCTGACGACACCAGTGTTGGTCTGTTTGGCAACATTGTGAGGAGGGAAGGCGACAGGAGTCGTTAGGCAGGAATTCCTCTGTCACCTCACCATCTCTCTCTTCCACTTATTCTATCCTCCACAGCATCCACAATCATGGAGCAGAGATGCAAACTCATATCGGTCATGAATCCCTGTCAGTGTTTACTGTGGTCTCCTCTGCAGCATTAAGTTTCCTTACGCCGTCTGGCTCGGAGGCCAACCACAGGACAGGGCCTGTGCTGCCAAGACTCACCAGCATCTTCTTTCAGCCCACAACAAGGCCTGTGGTTTACTGTGCAAAGCTGCCGATCCACCAAACAATAGAGCAGTTGAGTCTTGTTTGAGGAATTTGTCAATGTCGAAGAGTACAAGTGTAGACATTCTTATCCACTCGGATACTCCGTATGTCTGACACTGACACATCTCCAGGGGTTCTCTTATCGTGGCTTGATTCAGTTTCCATTTCCCATGCATTCCTGACATAGTAATACTCTCTCTCTCTCGCTGTCTCTCTCTCTCACACACACACACACACTCGTACGCAAACAGTCCAAGCTGTTTTCCTTAAACAATTTCTGCACAGTGAGATACAGCAGAATTGAAGCACACACAAATGGATTAGCTGCTGTAGCATTAAATAGTCCAAGTGTGGGAGTATATGTTTGTGCACATTGTCTGGGTATGTGCACACACACACACACATACACACACACACACACACACACACACACTTACACATGCATGTTTTTAGTGTAAGGGCTTTGCTTAATTTCTTTAAGTCTACCTTTGTTGCTGTTAGCTGGAGCACAGTCAACAGAGTTAACGTATTCTATCAGCTACAAGCTGAGTGAATATTGGACTTTTGGCAGATTCATCAGCTGAGGACAAACACCACTGCTAGTAAATATCATTATGTCTGCTGGATGTGTAAAAAGGCATTGACAAATCACATCTGCTATATTTCGGCAGTGTTGTGTTTACAGTTAATTCTGCTGCTCCAAAATCGAAAATATATTTCTTCAGTTGTAGGCAAAGCAACATCTGCCGGCAGCAGCTACTTGTCACACCTCACAGCCCTGTCTCCTAAATAGTGCTTTCATACACAGCTAAATTACAACAACAAATATGTTCTGAAGGAAACCTTACACAGCACAAATTATTATTTCTGCTGATATAATGAAGAAATATTGCAAGGATGAACACTTTATAAACTTTTCTATTGTTATATTTAAGCACTCACAAAGTGAGGTTGAGGGAAAATCATGTCTTAGTTTGATGTAGAAAAAGACCATGTGTGTGTTCTGACATGAAGTGTTAAAGGTACAGTGGGTAGAGGTTTGTGATATCTAGTAATGAAGTTGCATGTTGCAGGTGAACACCCCTCACCTCACTCTCTCCTTCCAAACATGAACAAGAACCTGTGGTAGCTTTTCATTGTGATAAAAACTCAAAAGGTGTTTAGTTTGTCCAGTCTGGACTAATGTAAAAAACATGGCGGCCTCCATAGAGAGGGTCCCCTCCATGTACATATAAAGTATTTAAATATCTAATGGAATATATAAATATTCCATTAGATGGAATGAACTAGTGAAAACATCATGAGGATTATTCTACATTACATTTCTGCCAATAGATCCCTTTCACCTAAATCTTACACACTGGACCTTTAATGCAATGATTTATTTTGAGAATTGAGGTGACAGTTAGTGGTACTGAACTGAACAACATTATATTCAGAAGAGTGTCTTCAAAAGCCATATGTTGATTAGAGAATACAAAATCTCATCTCTGAGTGTAAAGTCATCAAATTAAACACTACCTTTACTTATTAGCACAATCATGATAATAATAATAACATCACTGAATGATGAGCTTTGCAAAGGTATAATTTATGAGATTTTGATTTGCAACAGTACGTTCATAAGTACCTTATAAAGTGGCCACTGAGAGTATATATTTTTTACAAGTGATACACAGGAGATAGTTTACTGAAAATCTTCAAGAAACAAAGGTTCCCAAAAAACTGCAGGGATTAATTAGAAAAAGACAGCCATTGACTTGTGGTTGCTACATTTTCTCATTAATTCACAACAATCAATAAAAAGAAGGCTCCAGACAACACAACGCTGGGAGCATCTCTCCTCACACAATGTGAACTGAATACCTGAGTGTGTATTGGAAGAACTCAGCAGAGATGTTGAGCTCAGAGTAGTAATCAGCAGGGTGTAAAGACCAGTTATAGTCATTATTGGGTTTTTGAGTTATTTCAGAAAAATCTAAATTACATTTTCCATACATTAAAGTGATGCAATTTTATGATAAAAAACAAATTATATATACAGTATATATATATATATATTATGAGCTCACCGAAATCCCAGACTGCTGATATGCTGACTGCCCAGCTTGGACAGGCTCTTCTTGGCAGAATCCTCCAAGTTGTTGGAGCCCTCGTCATTTACCACCACGGCCAGTATGAGCCCCACTTCCACGCCGTCCACATACTTCGCAAGGCGACGACTCTCATCCTTACTGCGGTATGTGTCGAACCTGCGGGAATGAAGGGATGTGAAGCAGAACAAGAGAAACACACAAAACCATTACAGCATCTTCTGTTCAACCTTTAACTCAGCCGGACCAGAGAAGAGCCCTCAAACCCACTCAGTATGTGTACTACAACTATTGCATGTGCAGCATCCACTGACGTGCTCAGTTTGATTATTAAGGTTAGAAATTATTGCACTATATTTACAGAAATGGCTCATGCACATACACACGTGCACAATGCACTGAGTGTAGGGTTAGGAAACAAATCAATAGAAAGTTCCGTTATGTAAATTGCACAGCCCACACTCCCTTTTGAAAAATATAACTAATGTAAATACACAACAAATCACCCAATATATAGAATATTTATATAATTTTGAGTGACTTGACATGGCTTCTTGTCTGTGCTGTTGTTTCTCTCTCTACAGGGACAAAGCTAAATTGCTGCAATGCGTTTCTGTGCCCCTGCTGCTTCAGCTGTCAATCAAACTCATATCACCGCCGGTCGTTCAGAGACTCTGCCGGCTCCTTTCTTTTACTGATGAAAACACATTTAAAGGAGAGGAAATTACTTCTGTGATGTGACTAATGTACATTAAGTGCAGTGTAATATCCAGTGCTATAGGTGCTTTGATAAAACTTGAGTGTACCTCAATGAAACCGAAATAAACTCTCTTGAGCACAAGAGCAAAAACTGAGATGAAAGATAATTTAAACAAACAGTGTCATCCAGGAATAACACCATCCCTATCCTTTTCTAATTATTGTATAATTGTTCTCTAATCTATGACTGTGGTTGACTCTGTCTACATATAAACTGTGTTGTAACAGCCTTTTATTAAGTGCATTTTATGGTTGTCACCTTCTAATGACATTAAATTTAACAAGAGTGGACACAGTCCAGTGCCCTGCCTCCACCTCCTCTGAGAATGAGCCATTCATCTATTAACCACAAAAAATCTGTATATCAATGAATGAATCTATTTAAAATAAAAATGTAACGGATATTTAAACGCAAAAGGATATTAAGGATGGTTTCAATTTCTAAATTTAATATCCCCACACGAAACAATGCCAGAGCCATTACAGGCATATTTGTCTCCATCATTACAACCCTGTGGTTTGACAGCTTATGAGGTGACGCCACCACATCTTCTCTGCTCTAATTAGTGTCTCATGGATGTTCAGGAGCTGAGCTGCTGCCGCTGCTTCAAGGGGTCCCTCACCTGTCGTCGTGAAGCACGTCTCCGGTCTTGGGATCGATGACGTGGATAATGATGCCTCGATTGCCCCAGCTTCTCTGAAACAGGTAGTTGTTTTGGTTGCTCTCTCCGGGGTGGAGGGTTTTGTTGAGGAACGTCCATGACAGTTTCTTTTTTCCATGGATCTCTAGTGTCCCCCCTGTGCCCACACCAATGTACTTCCTCCCAAAGTAGCTGTGTTCCTGATCACTGTCATCCAATCTGAGAACAGTGTGGAAAAATTCAAAATGCTTTAATACAGTATATGTCTTTCTGGCACATGAAACAAGGAGAATTCTTCAACGGTTTGTGACCATGCAAATTATGAAAGTTTGTCAAACATGTGGACATGTTTAAATTGCCTGATTTGTATTTCTGATGATTTGAACAAGACATCTTATGAAACGTTGTCCTCATTTGCTGGTTGCACATTTTTGGCCACAGTACTGGGCAATCTGATGAACTGGTAATCTGCTGAGTGGTATGTGTCAAAGATTTCAATGGTTGTTGAAATAAATGAAAAGTCATTTCATTCTTTGGGGACCAAGAATGTCTGTACAGAATGTCATGAGCAACCAATGACACCATCCCTAGAATGTTGCTTATGAGTAAAATGGCTGAGATTAACAAAATAAACCCATTCATTTTGTGAAAGGTGTATTTTATTGCCATTTTTACTCAATAAAAAAGCAACAAGATAGCAAGGTATGCTGGGTATGCAGGGCAACAATATAACTTGAATTATCTCTGCAGAGAAAGGTTTCTCCCATTGAAGCACAGCATTGATGCTCTCCGGTCAGTGAGCGAGGAAGTCGGACCCATCTTTTATTTTTTCAAGATTTGTACAGACTGTAGTGGAAGGAACCTGCAGTGTGTTGGTGTTTGGGATTTTGATTATTGTGATCGCCCAGTGAAAACAGCCCAATCACAATCTGTTGATGAGAGAGGTCGGACTGGTTGGAGCTGACAGAGAGACTACAGTAACTCAGAGAACTACTCTCTCAGCTAACAACAGAAAAGTGGGGCTGCAGTGGCACAGACTCACCAACACTGGACAATTGAAGACTAAAAAACACAGCCTGGTCGGATGAGTCTGGATGTTTGCTGAGGCTGCAAATGATGAGTCACAATCTGGAGTCAACAGCATGAATCAATAGAGACAAACTGCCTTGTTTCAACAGTCCAGGCTGTTGGTGGTGGTCTGATGTAATGAATGTGACTCACTTTGGGTTTTAATACCAATCAATCACGAATGAAGTGTCACAGTTTATCTGAGTATTGTTGCTGAACATGTTCATCCCCTTATAGCCACAGTCTTTCATATAATGGACACTTCCAGCAGGATAATGCTCCAGGTCATAAAGTAACAGTCTCAAACTGGTTTCATGAACCTGACAGTGAGTTCAGTGAACCTCAGTGACCTCCTCTGTCACCAGATGTGAACCCAGCACCGTGTGCAACTGGCAAATCTGCAGAAACGATGAAATCCAGTCATGTCAACGTGGAGAGGAAGGTTTTTTAAAATCTGTCTTGTAGTAAAATGGAGGAACTAACCACTGCTAGTATACTGTTCCTAATAAAGTGCTCACAGGGTATATGCTAATGTATTGATCAGTGTTACTGCGCTTAAGTATCATTCTGCTTTTAAGCCGAGTTTCACACTGTACCTTCCAAATAGGGAGATGGTGAGGTTGCCTCTATAGGGACAGTCTGGGCTGCCAACGTGTAGCTCCCCCTTGCTCCCAATCAGAATGTGTTTTGTTCGAAGCAATATGGGCCGGTTGGTGTCAGCAATCACCAACTTTCCTACAGGAGAAAAAGAGAGAGAGGAGGGTTGGAGTGGGGGGGGGGGGTGATGAAGCCTCCTGGCAGGTCCTTCATGCCCCAGTGCCCTCAGACACCTTCTGTCTTCCTACCATTTATGGCCTTGTGCTTAGACTCACACATACACACACACACACACACAGGGCGAATGTAGCCGGCCAACCACGTCTGTTACCAGACCTGCAATCCAATGATTCCAGTTCAGTAGTGAAGTGGTGAATAGCTGCTCAACATTGAACATCATGTCCTGTATGTTCGTCTGTTCTCTGAAGGGCGGGGGCCCTGCTTTCAGCACATTCCTGCTTTCTGGTTTTTGCCTCTTGCACAGTACATTCAGAAAGAATGTATTTATTGAAATTTCTTCCACTTCCAATTATTAAGAGATGATTAAGTCTGAGATGCTTCCGTCAAGGAAGTGACCATTTAGATCAAATGGCTGAGCAGTTAAATGTGGCAGAAAAGGCTTCACCCTTTGAAGGGACTATCAAAGAATGTGTGTGATGAGGAGGATTAATGCTGTACTGTAACGATATGGAGTAAGAAGCTGTAAACATGTATGAACAGTGCATCTTTACATTGCATGCTTATTACATTAAACAGCTGTGGCTGAGCAGAAGAGCGGTCATCCTCCAACCAGAAGGTCGGCAGTTTAATCCCGGTCTTCCCATCTGCGTGCCGAAGTGTCCTTGGGCAAGATGCTGAACCCCTAATGGCCCAACATAAAAAGGTGCTGCCCATAGATGCACTGTATGAATTTGTGTGTGAATGGGTGAATGGCAGACTGTACTGTTAAGTACCCTGAGTAGTCATTGAGACTAGAAAAGCTCTGTGTAAATACAAACCATTTATCATTTACTAAGCAGGAATCCCTAAAATGGCCTAGTGGTAGCTAGAGGTCCCTTACTTCTTAGTCCTTAAGTCTATTAATTAAAAAAAAAGAGAACTATACCCTGTTAAAAAGATTAAGGGTTAGAAGAGAGAAGAGAAAGATCATTTGTTTTTGAACCCACCTTCCAACTATAACCCACCCATACGCTCTGCTTCACACAGAAACATGTCCTGTTACAGAAGATAAAGAAACTGTGGCTTTAGATGAAAATCAACACAAGATGGATTCTTCCATCTTACCACCGTTGAGAATCTCAATGGAGTGGACCGTAGCTGAAGTAGTGAGGAGGACCTTCCTGCCGTAGCCAATTGTCACCCGGTGGTCTTTACTGTGTCCTGGCATCCATGGCTGCAGTCCTGGCTCTTTATCTGGACAACCTGCAGGGGACAGGATATACACAAACATTTCACTTCCATGCATGTTTTTCTCACTAAATATATTGACTCAAGTACAGTATTTCAGGCCAATTTCATTTGCATTTGGATTTTACGACTATAGTTACAGGTTGCTTTCGGGATTAAGTTTCTACATAAAGAAACACAGGATATTCACACATTGTTTACAGATTTCTTACCAAGAAATAATAGACACAGTTGTTGGAGAGCGATCAGGGAGGCAGTGGAATAAAACCAGGAGGCAGGATTTCTAACCCACCTTTGAGCATGGTCATTTAGAACAGGCGAAAACACTTTTACCAATCTTTAAAGCATGTACTACTACTGCTACTAATACTACTACTATTACTACTAGAAGTATGTAAAAAATATTTCCCTTAAAAACATTCTCATTTGCAAAAATATGCAACATCAAGAGGACACATTTTTTCATCTGATCACCAGTATCGTGGCGGGTGTGCAGAGTGAATGATGTTGTCATTATTAAAACTTACTGGTGGGTTATGTTGATGAACTAATAATCAATTTTATAGGGGACATGACTTTGAACCCTGGGATGGCCCTAATTGTAGCATCTCAGCAATCCTCTAATATGAATGAATTGATGCAAAGAAATGATGGAAAGCATATAGATACTTTTAGAGCAAATTACATTTCTCATAACATCCTGTAGCTACTGTAGCCTTCATCAGGCTGTATCAACACCTAGATGGAATCTTTTACAGCTGGAAAATTGCTTTTCACAGTATAAATCTGAAACGTGCTGGGCATACATACTTTTTACTGTTTTGTTATTTCCCTTGGAAAAACCCAACATAAATGGGCAGCAGGGTAAAAATGTGGTTTGAATCAGCACAAGTACATCAATAGACTTCTCTCTTGACACACTGTTTTCATGGCAAAAATCCAAGAGGCACAGGATGCACCGAGATATCCATATCTGAAAAACAGTATACATAGATGAACCTTTCTCCTTTAATTGATGGCAAACAGTTGGTAATTTATTTTTCTCAAGGCCGTTGAAATGCACTTCTGGAAAAATATTGAAATGAGACCAAGATTGGGGAAACAATTATATAAAAGAATGTGATTGTAACTTTCAACACCACACATCAGGAAATCTCCAGTAATCCATCGAACATGACAGTCGCGTGAACAGCAGTGCTCGACTACAGGTTTGTCAGTATGTTCAATGCTGATCAGATTTTTTTTTATTACTTTAATTTCTTCCTAATCTGTAACCTTCTTAGCTCCCATACCATCCAAATGGGGATAAAATAGCACACAAGGTTATTGGATTGCTCACTCAAGAGTAAGAGTGACTGATGAACCCATTTAGTTTGTGTCTGCTATTATCAGGATAGCACTGTGAGTCATTGTGAGTGAATCTGCCCAATAAAGTTTCAATCCATTGCTTTCTGGTGTGTGTGTGTGTGTGTGTGTGTGTGTGTGTGTGTGTGTGTGTGTGTGTGTGTGGTGGTTTGGTGGTTACCTCATCTCCCTGCCACCTAATGGATCCATCAGTGGAACTGACTGGCCAAGGACCTGAATTGTCAAGTAGATTTCCCAGAGGGCAAACACAGATTGATAGACGGTAACTCGCAATCAGCTGGTTTTCTGATGTCTGTGAGTGACTGCTGTTCGGCTCTGGAGGACTCAGAGTGTGTGCAGAGGTGTGGGCAGCCTTGCAATGACTCTTAAACACAAACCACTACCTTCTCAATCACATTAATAAGTTAGCCATGTGAGTCACTAGCATTACACTGCTACTTTTGAAGTGTTGCTGAAGGTTGAAATATTTTTTTGCAGAGGGATGAATTAATGACTCATGTCTCATGCCGCTTCTCTAGAAACAGTATTTAGTGATCAGATTGTCTAAATTATGTTTTCTAGATTTAATATGATGTATACATACAGTATGTCCAATATATCCACTCATACATTTTATCCATGGTTTATATTTGTGGTTTATCTTGTCACTGAGTCTCTCTTTCTCTTGCCTGTGTGAAATAAATGGATTATTTTGGTGTTTGGTATTGAATTTACTACAGTGAATGCATATGACATTAATATGTATGCATCTTATCCATGCAGGGCAGAGGAAGTAAAAAAGAAAGAGAAGAGAAAGACAAACCCTTACAGCTGTTTGAGCATCGGGGAGTTAGTCTCTACGTTCACAGAGCAATATTTTATTTATGCTAATATACTCTTATCACACAAGTTCATTTTATTACCTCTGTTAATAAGAATAATAACTTAGAGAGAGACCCTCTATTTAAGAACATTTGAGGGTAAACTGCTTATAATGCTGGCGGACTAATTTAGGGCTGTAATGGTGGCATTGTAGGTATTATAATAGCGTCTGATGAAAATGGTAAAATAAAAACAAATCAATTGGTATTGCAGCAGTCTATTTTGCATTCTGTTATTGGGCGCTCTTTTGGGGGGCTTCTTCTGTTGTGTTGATTTTTTCATGCAGACCTGGCAACCCTGCCCTGAGAGTTGACTATTAATCACATGATAAAGGCCAATTCATGCTTCTGCGTCAAAGCTATGCTGTAGGTACGCATGGGGCTGAGCATTCATAGTGTGTGTATGAGATGCGCTTCTGGTTTCTGGTCCACTCATTTACAAATGCTCTGGTGTCTCCGTTGACTTCAGAATAGTCTTACAAAGTGGTTCATGTTAGAATTGAAGCTGGTAGATGTTGAAGAGCATTTACTGACAGCAACAAAGAAAATGAAGATGTCTTCCTTGCTCGTTCCTACAACTCAATTCAAAAATGCCGGCTAGTCAGTCCGACCAAGCGGACCAATCTAAGCTCTTGTCACCCTTGATGCATAGTTACATTTTTGGGGAGGTGCATTTCAGGATATGGGGTAGGGCTCTGTGTATGGAACATGTCTATGTGTAGGCTACAGCATTGGACCTAACAGAGAGACAATGACCTTTTGCTTTTCAGTGATAGTCTGGGGCTTATTACATATAGCGAATGTTAGCATTAACAGTAAATAACAGTTATCAACACTGACTTGCCAATTTACACAAAATGTTGCAAGTTTAACATTAACCTGGAGCACATATAATCTTTCTGCTGCCATCCACTGATTCCTCATTGATGGCCTTGGTCCTCTCCTCCAGGGGGGGGTACTGTGATGTTCCCCACAGTTGTCATATGTAATGGGGGACATATCTAGGGGGTACCAGCAGAGATATCAGTGTGTTGAATGGTTTGTGGCTTGTGACTTTAGGGACCTGGTGCTGTGAACCTCAGGCCATTTGAGGAGTTCCAATGCTCCTGATGGCTCCACACTGTTTTTGTTGTTCTGTTCTTTACTCTCATCGTCCAAGTGCCCCCATATATGATCACATAACTGAAGTTCCATTGTCAGACCATTTTTAAGGATTATGTTTCCTTCTGTCATCTGATCTCAGGAGCTCAGCCAGACTAAGTTCACTGAGTTTGAGTGAGCAGCCAACGCCATGAGGAGTCCTGCTTGTTCAACACCTTTTCCTTTAAAGATTTTAGTGACCACTTTGGCTCTTAGAATCCGTCAATGCAGCAGGTTTTTTGCCTCAACACAATCCTCTCTCTCAGGCCTGTGGGCAGCTCCTTAAAACTCATTATCAGGTATAAGTTCTGTTGGGTTTCTCTATGTTAATATTGTTTTAAGGTCTTGACCTTTAAATGTAAAGTGCCTTGAGATAATGTAAATTATGAATTGGCGCTATATAAATAAAATTGAATTGAATTGAATTGAATAAGTCCTTGTAGAGACAGGACATGCCTCTCCAATTAGTGTCCAGTCAATTGAATTTACCACTGACATATTTAGGCCCTATAAAACATACTCACTGTGCTCAAGGTGTAGACACATCTCAAACATTATCAAGATAAATAGGAGGTACATGAGTTGTAAGTGTCATGGCAGAAGCATCCAAATACTGATTTTCTTCAATCAAATTTTATTCAGTATCATTAGGGGTTTACTGAATGAAGATTAAGAAGGAAAGCTGAGAACTTGGAACCACTGTATGCTACTTTACATGTACGCTTTTGCATGTACATTTGTTACTTGCCTCATCTTGCATTTTCTTCTTCTATGCCTTGTTAATAAACTGCAAATGAACCTTATAAGAGGACTCACTCGTGTGCAAGTTTCCAGCACCAAGCACAGAAGGCTACATGCACAAAAATGGAAAAGCTGACAAGATAAAGCCATAAGCAAAAACTTACATACAGCATGCAGTAAAAAGCCTCATCAGCAGCCGTTCACACACATTTCTGAGTGAGCGTCTGAAGTCAGTGTGGCTGCCAGTTACTGGAGTTTCTGACAGCTGTGAGTAAAAACTGCTGAACCTGCTGCTTTGCTTTGCTTTGGTTTAAATTCTTCTCTAATCCACCAACATAATGACCTGAGCCTGAACTCCATCAGGAAACCACCAAGACAGGTGAGTCAGGGAGAATTATACCTCAAAAATAAACCAGTAGAAGTCTAGATTTTAAAGATTGATATGTGCAAGTCCAATGGAACACGAGAACAGGATAA